GGAAAGCATTAGAAATTAATACAGCACTGATCATTATTTCGAGTCCTTACAAGTGACTACGATTTCTCTCCATGGTGTAATTCCAGACACTTTCCGCAACAATGGCCGAGGAACGAGCGCATCCTGCGAGCAGAATTTTAAGCGAGAGAAGCCAGGAAATTAGGAAGATTTGATCAGCCGGTCCTGGAATTACAAATAACCTTATTATTGTGCCGCACGACGCTCCAACCCTGGCAATTTATACTGAATCTGCTTTTTAAACGGCACATCGCGATTAGGTGATTTACATGAAGATCTTGGCGAGCGCAACAAATAACGCATTGAATGCCTTTTTTTTACATTATAAAGATAAAATTGCCCTTCGATTCACGCGTCGTTTCTATTCATTTTATCCTGTAGATTTTACATCTGTTGTATCCCCGCGTTCGATCGTTGAAGTTATATATATTCTCGAGAAAGCTTATATTCACTCTCTTGAAATTTTTATGTCTCTGAAATTTTTATCTGAATAAATTTCTCCGCACGGTTTTACAATACATACGTTGCTCCCCCTCCTTCTCTTGCCCGCGTACCCTACTTTTCACCCATTTTTCTTTGCTTCGTGACCCTTCGGTAAGTCGCGCCGGCAATGAAGACAAATTGTCGGCGTCCCGCAGTTTTACCAAGACAGTAATTAATTGCCGTGTCGCGTAACGAGTCCTGCTTCAACTATTGACACGCGTCGATTTAGGCAAATCCTCCTTAGATTCCATTAATACCAAGTTCCTGATTAATTCACGCTAAAAAGCGATAAAAATACAACTGACAATATATCTATAATAGAAAAACGTAAATAAATGAGTGACACGCAATGTCAGTAATAATTAGATAAATTGCACAGATAATAGTATTACTTAAACTACTGGCAGATAATGTTGCAAATTACAATATATATATATATATATATATATATATATATATATATTATACTCCATATAATTAATAATGTAACTAATTATATGCGTTGACATCTAGGATGTAATAATTTATTAATTATGTCGTACTATGTGTGTATGCATAATGATATAATTAATAAATTAATACACTTTAGGTATAAAATACCTAGTTTATATATAACATCTATTATGGAAATTATTCTCGCAAATTATCCTTTGTTTGATCTGACCGATCAAAGTTTAAAGAGGCGTGGAACTTTCAGAGTATCATTTTCGCTTAATTCAGCGTCATTGCCATTAGTCAATTAAACGATCATTGAGATTTCGAGATGAGAGAGAAAATTACGACCGCTGATACTTTCTGGCCGCGTTTGCCGGTTCCGAGACAAATTCCGTGGGATGACGAGGATAATAAAGGCTCGTTAGTCCTGCGAAATCGGCGAAATACCGCCAGGAAAAGTCGCTCGTTTGCCGACTTTTTTCTATCTTGATTGCGCTCGCTTCACAACTTCCACTCTCCTCAGGATGTCTCGAAAAATAAAGCGCGACGAATTACCGTGAATTATAGCTACGGACAATGGAGAAACAAGCCGCTATGTAAGTATGTACTATAACTGCGGATTTAAGGAGGACGGGCTAACGTAAATTAATTGCGCTAAACGTTAAGCTGGAGCCAGGCAAAATTTGCCATCGCGAATTCGTGTGAATTAAAATAACATATCCGGAATAATAAATTAAAGCGAATTAAAGCTCTTTGGATCCTTTCAATAATGGATTAATACGTGAACTTGATGGTGGCCTCCTCTCTCATTTTATAAATATTTTTTCCGAATAATTAATTAATATTTGTTTCGGGAATTAAAATAGCAGGATGAGGATAATAAATTTTCATTTTTGAAAAGATTAAGAATACTTAATGAAGCGCATCAGGAGCGCGCGAAAGAAACGGTAAAAAAATCGGTGAATTAATTTAAATAAAATTATTAAATTTCAATAAAATCTCCGCGCGCGCAGTTTGAAGATAAATATTTATGACTTCACTCTTTTCAATCTTAAAACTTTGTAAAAGCGAGACAAACGCGAGTCGAGCAGCTCTGCCGTTTCGGGAATCAAATTTCCCTCGTAGTTAAGATCATTTATCGGGGAAAGTCGCTCGCGCGCGCAAAAATCGCCCCGAAGGGTGCGAAGATTTACGAGGGGCTGCTACGAGGCACCCGCCATCTTTGAATCACCAGCAGTCTCCGCGGAGATCGTTTCTCTCCATCCGGGCTTAAAAGTATTTCCTTGCTGTTCTCACCGCTCATTTGAACTAATAACTCGCGCGCGATTCCTGGCAGAAGGGGAAGAGGGAAGGAGGAGGAGGAGGAGGAGGAAGGGAAGACAAAGGTAGAAGAGGAGAACATGGCCTTGAGCCCCGGGTTGCTCGCAGATGAGCCAAAGCTTCTGCTTCTGCGGAACCAGTTTTTCCCACAGTTTTCCGGAGCGAACTTTCGAATTTAATTCAGTTACTGTCTACCCCCGTAACATATCCCGAGGCTTTCGCAGAGGGAGGCGGGAGGGTGGAGGATAAACGCAAAAGGAGGTCAATCTGCGAAACTTTCCCGGAACATGTGCGAATTATTTTAATGATGAAATATAACGCGTCGGGATCGTTTCTCGACATCATCTCGTAACGAAGCTTAAATTCGAGAATATGTCGGGGCTGTTAATAAGAACACGAAATCTCATAAACGTGAATATACGTTGCACCGTTATTCGCGTATATATGCGCGTATAAGACCGTATATTATTTTGATACGTGATTATCGAGCTGTATCTCCGCATTCAGAAAATCAGCCGATGAAACGGTAGTTCGATGAAAGTCGATTTCCGCGGTTATTTCCCGCTTTAATATTAATTACTAGCCGCGCGTGGAAGATCGCAACGGATAAAATCATTTATTAATCGGCAAATAATGCGACCGCATGCACAAATGGCGGCTTCATTATGGAATCGCTGCGTGTACAGCTTCCCAATACAGCCAGATAATTGTGTTTCGCCGAAATAAATCTCTCGCTTGACTTCACCAGCGTAAATAACCGATAATTAACAACAGGCGTTAGCGCTCCCTCGTTATCATTCCATCATTTTTAAGTAAGTTCACTCCTAATTGCGTATATATATATATATATATATATATATATATATATATATATGTATGTGAGAAATTTGAAAAATTAATCGTGTCACTAAATAAAAAAAAAAGGAAAAATAATATTAATCATTTTTTTTTTAATTATATAATTTTATAAAAAACTCTGTCATACTTTATAGCTTTCGTTGGGAGAGAGAGAATCGGATTTATATTTTATTGAGAATTGTTTAATTTAATTTAATTCTCTTATCTCTCTCTCTAATCTTAGAAACTTTTCTATTGTCTAACTTCAACTTGAATTATCTCGAGCTTCGCGCATTAAAACTTAATCAGTTTCGTTTTTATCTGTAATTTTCTTCTTCAGTTCTTTCGCTGCTACATCTTTAATTCGGGGGAGAGGGAGAACTTGTCTGTCTCGCGCAGTTCCAACTTATTCCGATAAAATTTTAATTTTGAAATTTCGAATCAATTTAAGGGCCGAGCGCTGACTAACTTGACTCATCAAAATTTATCGCGCGTTCTTTATTTTTTTTTTTTTTTTTTTACGCTCCGACCGTAAAAGTTTACAGTCAGATAAAGTTGCGAATATAAAAACCGAAGTCATAGATTCGAATATTTTCGCCTCGTCCAAACAGGTAGGTTAAATCGTCATATGTCTTAATAATAATAAATCTAAAAAAAAAGAAAAAAGAGAAAAAAACCAGGACGAAAGCCATGTTTTTCCGTTCCGTGATGGATGACGGCCATCACGGTGAATAAATAACGACGAAGTCGTGCGGCCTTTAGGAAACCGAAACCCGATAAAGAACGCGGAACAATAAGAATGAATCGCTCGATCGCGGAATATATTTAAGTACACCTCCGTCTGGGGCGAGAGGGAGAGAGAGAGGAGGAAGGGGATGAAGCAGTAGCGGCGGAGGAAGAGGGGAAATAAAAGGGATCGGGTGAGCCTGAGCGACCCGAGACGAGAGAAAGAAATAAAAAGGAATTGTCATCGTCCGAGTGGCTGCAACCGTCCTTGTAACCGCGCCGCATCGCGGGGATATTTTCTCCCCCTCGATCTTCCTTCCACCCAATTCTCTCCCTCCTTCCCCTCCCCCCCTCTCGCTTTCTTTCTCCTCTTTACAACCACTGTCATTTGTTTTTACGTTTACTCCTCGTCGTTCCTGAAAATCCTTCGCGAGATCTGCCGCGCTCTGCGAGATTTCGTCGAGAAAACTGCGAGAGATAGGAGGAATGAACTGTACATATATATATATATATAAAGAAAATGAACTATAAAGCTCCTTAGGTGCTCTCCGAGGCTCTGAACGATTTTTTATAACATGAACATTAGAGCTGCAATAATAATCGTCGCACATGATAGTTTTTATAAAGAAAGATTTCCACTTTAAAATAATTAGTAGGGTGTACTAAGATACATAACAGAATTAATTATTTACGGGATGTCCCATACTTAACGAATCAGCCGTTAATGGTAGATTCCTGAGATCATTTGGAAATGAAAATACCAAAATGTTGAGAAAGATGTAGTTTCGGCGCTACAAAAGATTAAAGATTACCGATCGCGTTACGTTCTTCTATTCCTTCCTGTTTTCAGGGACATAGGGATAGCATCAAGCGTACAGCGCGATAATATCGATATCGATAGAGGGATGAATATAAAATAAAAAATAGAATTGAGCGCGGTTGTGTCTTCGATGCGACAGTAGTCAGTAGTTTGAACATTTTTATGAAGTCTTTCTCTCACATTTTGGCATTAGAATTTTCGTCTCCAAATCTCAGGAATCTGCTATTAACCGATTCGCTAAGTCTGGGACGCTCTGTATAAAAAAATATTATACACGCAATTTTATAGCCCTCGTCAATTGTATCGCAACCCAACCTTTACTTTCAAATCAGAGTAAAAAGGAACGATAATCGTTACTCACGGATCGTAAAGTTGGTGGGTTTCACGATCTTCGAGCAGACTCTGAAGAGGCCGAGCTTGAATCTCACGCTGATCACATTGGCGTAGTTTCTCGGTATATTCGGCAGGGCGAGCTTCTCCTCGGTGTGAAGCCAGGTCGGGCCCAGAAGAGCGACGCTGAGAGCCGCGAGGGCGGCGAGGCCGCACACGACGCCGCATCTGGTCAACGCGATACCACCTGGACCACCCGAGCAGCACATCTTCGTTTCCCGAACTCAGGTAACTCAGGATGACATCTCTCGAACCGGCGAATCACCTGCGAATCAACGCGACGACGAGGGCGCTTCGATTCTCTCGCAGTTTCCTCTCGACCTGCATTTCCCCGATTCTTCCTCAAGCTAGTCTCTTCGATGACACTTGAACTTCAACCTCTTCTTTTCGCACAAGTCAGTTCCTTTCGCGAACCTGCAATCAATTTTTATCCCTTCGTTTCCACTTTTACGTGCGTGTTAATGCAAGATTCCGCACTTTCTCGCGATTGTAAGTTTCCCGGCGATTTTTCCGGTAAAATTGAAGAGTCTGCTTTCAGATTGGAAATTATCGCTTATTGTAATCTACCTTTTTCTTTTAAATTTCTAGAACAAACGAATATGTTAAAGGGAGGAATGCAATATCCAAAGAAATATCCTATATACTTATACGCTTCCGATCGGAATACTCGGTGAAAAAGACCGTAGCGATGCAAAAAGAAGATGCTGAATTCTTCTGAAAGGGATGGCGGCCGTTAATGGATTTCTCGTTATGTGGAGAAACCATTAAAACGCGCGTTTGCTCACTCTCGAAGAAATTAATTCCGATTGCCGTTATCGCGGACGGCTTGAAAAAAAAAATAGCAAAAAGATGCGAGAGGAGGGGGAGGGGAAAAAGCACGGGAGAGGTGAAAGGATGGACCGCCATTATCGCTACCGCGTTTTCCGTCGAGGATAGATGAGAGTCTCCGACTTTTTTCCCAATGACTCCTTTTTTTACTCGGGAAACGCGAGAGGCAGGCTTCGCCTTCTCACGTACGGATATGTAAATAATCTTTTTCCGTCTCGTCAATTCAGACTGAAACCCTTAATCTTGACAATCTGATCCGAAAGGGAAAAATTTCAAAAAAAGAAAAAAAAAAATGCTGGAAATATTCCGAGGCTTGAAACCAGCTCCGAGAAACGTCCCTCTCTCTCTCCCTTTTTCTCTCTCTCCCTCTTCCAGCAGAGTCGATAAAAATCTCCCGGCTGCCGACAACGAAGTAATAGCAATAATTGCTTCCGGTTTTTGCCCCAACAAGCGATCGGCTAGCGAACGAAAAAAAAAAAAAAAGGCGGAAGTATCGTTTCGCGGCACAATGTCTATATCGATGTGATCCGTAATCGCGCTCGCGCGCGATTTATGTCCGCTGCGGATGACAGTTGCAATTACAACGTCATTCTTTCGCTCCGATCTAATTAATTGAAAAACAGCACGAAGGGGAGGCGAGGGGGGAAGTTAGTTGCACAGGCAGTTCGGAGGGCCCTCGAGAGATTTCTGGTCTTGTTAGGAAGGAGTTTCGAGTGCTGCTTAAGTCTATTCTACCTCTTTTTCTCTTCGATCCCTTGTTCCTTCCCCATCTCGCGCCTCCTCCCGAGTATCACGTAATTAAAAGTTCGAACCGACCGCGATTCACGCCTGACGGAAACCATCCTCTCCCCCCTCGCCCGACACTTCCCGTATTACTACGTAATCTGAGAGAGGCGGGAGAGTCGGAGGAGAGGGCTTACAGTGTGCTTTTTTTCTTTTTTTTTCTTCCCTCCCATCGTCCTTTTGTAATTACTCCTTCTTGAGAACTTTGGCTGATCGAGAGACCAGAAATTCTACGGCGAGATTTCTGCTCTCTCGCCGATATCGAGTAACGGAGGAAAATTGTAATAGTTGAAAAACTATTTGTCAATCGTTCCCCCTCGGTGCAGATGTAACAAGTACTCTGATTAGCATTATTACTATTTATTATATTTATTATATTTATTATATTTATCATATTATTATTATTATATTTATTATATTTTGTATAATTTATTTATTTGTTTATTTATTTTTTTTAGAAAATTGTACCAATAGTTTATAATAGTTAAGCAACTTCAATCTCTGAGCTGGAACGTAAATATGACATGTTTTTAAATGTGTGCCGATGCATTCGTGTATAATACTGCCTTTTAACTATTTTTCACATCGATCATATAAACGTGTATATTTTCAAGAATTCGAAAAAAAAAAAAAATTGTGAAAACGTTGGAATGAATTGCCAACCGCGCCAACCTCATCGGAGGGCTCGGAAAAGTCCATCGACACTTCCAACGAGCAGCTTCTGTCAACCCGGTCTGTTTTTCCGCGGACGCATCCTGGTGTCGGAATATCCGGTCGAATCGACACCAGGAACGTGGCGATAAAAATGGTTGCGGACAGAACGGTCGTATGCGCGAGCGAGCTTCCACATCTATTTTTTTTTATCTCCGTTCCCTTCACAATGCACAGAAGCGAATCGCGCGGCTTGATGTTACGTGTCGAGCTTTTTGGGGCTACGATTATTGGATATTTCCGCCGAGATGAGAAGATGAATAAACAAATTATCTGCGAGCGAGTATCTCGGGAGAGAAAAAAAATGGAGAAAATACCTCGGACAGAGAATTTTAGCGCGATATTCGGCTTGAAATGCGCCACTTTTCTTCATAAACTTGTATATTTAACGCGTTGGCTTGAAATTGTACGAAAAATAAATTTTCATACCGTCTACTTGCATTTCAGAAATTTATTTCGCTGCTATTTTCAACCCCTTTAAAATGCCATTGATACGCGTATCTCGACGTGAAAATATAAATTCTATTTATAATTTTTTAAAACTCAACGCAATTGTACGCGATACCCTACGTATGACTATCATTAATGGGTGATAGCGGGCAGGCAACCGTACTAATTAAGCTCGATATTAAGCGCGGCGCGGTTTCAGCCTGAAACGAGTCACCGTAAAATCGTGCGAGGACAAGCGCGACAATTTTTACGGTTTCCGCATCGCGACAGGCGATTTCCGCGTCCGCGAACTCTAATCAAACTCAACGCAACGCAACGCGACGCGACGCGACGACGGGAGAAAGAGTGTTCGTTAAAATCTCGACGCGTTCGGGATCCAGTTTTCCACGAATCGCCAAGAGCTGCGAGAGTAATTTCGATGTCCGCTTCCGCGGATTTCCCCAGGAATAAAAATAGTCCCGTGTGCGAAATTACAAATTACGTGCTTTTCAATTAAAAACCTGCAACTTGCGCCCCGCCAGGAAATGCCGACGTGGCCTGAAAATTTCGAATCCCCCGATCGCGATCCGGAAATTTAGACAGAGAGAAAGGGATAATAAATGAAGAGAAAGAGAGAGACGCGAGTTAAAACGATTGCGCGGAAAAATATTTGCTACACGCAAAACTTTCCCAAAAAATTCCCTTCGCGCGAGAAAATATTTATGTACATTACATTAGAGTGATTTCGCGGTGCACGAATGTTTTAGCGCGTTTTCGAGAGGTCTCGTAGTTGCACGCGATTTTTAAACGTCGAGTGGCAGCGGGGAATATATCTCGCGTAATGTATAATAGATTTTTGTTACGCGCGACAAATATTCCCTCTATACAATGCGTGATTTTTTTTTCACAGAGCATGTTCATACGAAACGAACACATTTTGCATTATAAATGAACATTCTCGTTACCTCAAATACAGTTTTAACTCTGTAATGTGTTTTTCCCCTTCCCCTCGAAACAATAAAATAACATAAATCGATATATTTTATATATCTAAATTCAAAAATTTTTATATAAATGAAAAAAAATTTCGTCGTCGCAAAAATATGTGGAGGCGAGATATAGTCGAATTTTAATTCAAAAAATTTGCTTAAAAAAGCAAGATCGTACGCGCTATCGGATCGCAAAAATACTTGAAAATCTAACGGATGCGGAGGGATCGAAAAAAATGCAATTCGCGGCGAGTATTTCCGCGTTTCACGCGAAACCACCCCGTATACGTATGACTCTTTGAAGTCATTACCGGCGTGTCAGTGTCAGACGACCGACCCCCGCCAAACCCCGAGTGAAAAAAGCGGAGAGCGCGATATTTTTCTACTGTCACGAGCGACCGCTCGTCCCAAATCCTGGACAGGACCAGTAGGGTCCTGGCGAATAGCGCGCGAATCAGGGTGTGTTCCGACCGCGAAATTATATACGAGGAAAATCCCTCCCAAGGGTATCTGTGTGTCTAAGGATATAATATGTAAGGAAGGCATAAGGGTGACGCGAATATTTCCCTGCAAGAAACATTTAATAATAATAATAATTATTATTATTATTATAAAATATTTTAATAATATTAATAATAATAATATTTATTAATAATAATATTAATAACAATAATAATAATATTTATTAATAATTATTATAAAATAATAATATTAATAATTAAATAATAATATAAATAATAATATTATTAAATAATGATAATATTAATAATTAAATAATAATTATTAAATAATATAAAGGAAAAATTATGTGAGGTAATAATTAACGGGATGCGAATGTTATATTCGAACTTTTTAACACGCGTTCAACGATTTCAAGATAAAATATGAAGATATAACGATAAAGCGAGCTTGCAAAAGAATATAAAAATTCCAGGGGAAAATTCAATGAGATTGAAATACTTTAAAAGTCAAAGTAATACGGAAAATATCAAGATTTCGATATCGACAACTGATGATATAGTGGAACAATACAAAGTTTACGCAAAATTCAGGTCGAACGTACGGATTTAAGAGTTGACGGCGGATAGATTTGAAGAATTAAACATCTAAATGCGGAAATGTTTCACGTTTATGAAGAAAACTTGTATGAAAATGTGAAAACAGATTCGTAAGAATGAAATATTTAATGTCTTAAAGTGCGATATTTCAAAGATTTAAGGAATCTAAATATCTAAAGTATCTAACATTTCAAAAGCGAATAACGCGATAACAAGAGAATAATGTGCGATGAAAGAATGTGCGAAATAAATTCTCATAATTTGATATTATTTCACGATTTATCACGCAAACAAATTTTTAAATTCGAGCAATGTAAGAGTAATTTCAAGATAATAAAGAAAATATTTGAAAGTATGAAGAATAACCGATTGGTCATATAGAATTATGCACTTTAGAAAAAAAAAGAGACTTTCAAAGAAAATCCAAAAGGAGATATAAAAGCTGCAAGTACTCGGCAAATATTTGAGGGAAACTGAGGGGAACGACTCAATGTAAAGTCGAGCGATCGGCCAATATTTAAAGGGTACGAATCAAGTACGTTTCAAAGAGACTGTAAGTAGAAAAAAAAAATGCAAAAATCACAACGAATCCGACTTCCACAAATTTAAAAATCCA